TTTATTGGCTCTTATAAAACTGCAGTCAAGAGATCTCATGTGAAAGCTCAAAAGGGAAAGAATATGTTCTTTTTTTTTTTAATATCTTTATTCTATTCATTCATTTTTATGTGGTGCTGAGGATCCAATCCAGGGCCCTGAATGTGCTAGGCAAGGGCTCTACCACTGAACCACAACCCCAGCTCCAAGAATCTGTTCTTAGCTCACTTAAATATTGGCAGGATTCAGATCCTTAAGGGTTGGATCTCAGCTCTGTTATCAATCAGCCTAAGGTTCTTTTTCTCAATTTGAGATAAAAATCATAAAGAGGCAAGCAGTATCAACCAAAAAGGCTTTATTGGGTCTTATGCTTGAGTTAAAGGAAGACAGCATAAGGGATAGGGTTCCTGAACTGGCTCTCAGAGGAGACTTTAGGGCAAAGTTTTTACAGCTCTGCTTGTGCAGGTGTACTTGGTGGCTATTGCACAAGGTCCAGGATTTCTGCACATGTCCTGTCTTCGCGTAGCACCAAGGCTTGCATTTGTAAAGGTGATCTGCTCATGCACATTGGGTCCATAAGCTCTTGACTGGTAAAAGATGGCAGAGGTGCTTACTACTGCCACCCCAGGAAGGTTACATAGCAGACAAAGCCAGGCATTCTGGGCCTAAGGAGTTGCTGGACCATCTGTTTACAAGCTGAGAGGGGAGTTGGTTGTTGCAACATAATTATCTGGAGAATATAAAACCTTGGTAGGTGGAGAGGTTGGGGAGTGATGGGGTGGGGATCAGAACCTCTTGATTTTGTCTGGATTCCTTATTGCATGTTGTCTTGAGGCCATGTTCAGTTTCTTGCCAAGTAAGCCTTTCCCACTTGGCAGATTGTTTCTTCCAGAGTCGGGTGTGGTGGTGCTGGTCTGCAATCCCAGTGACCCAAGAGCCTGAGGCAGGAGTATTGCAAGTTCGAGCCCTGCCTTGGAAATTTAGCAAGACAGCTGTCTCAAAATAAAAAATAAAAAGGACTGGGGATATAGCCCAATGGTAGTGCACCCCAGGGTTCAATCCCTAGTCAAAACAATAACAAAAACTGGGAGTTCCAGCAAGATGAAAGCCATATCTTTTATAACTTTACCTTAATCTTAGAAGTGATATCCATTATTTTTAGCATATTCTGTTTGTTGGAAACAAGTCATGAGGTACAGTCCACACTCAAAGGGAGGGGATTACCTTAGGGCAAGAATAAAGCCAGGAAGTAAGGATTTCTTGGAACCATTTTAGAAGGCTGCTTACAATATGCAATGGCAATCTAAACAGAAGTTGATAATTAATTCTACTCAGAACCTAGGGAAATGTGTCTCCATACCTCTTGTCCTGTTGTTGAAACAAAAAAATGACCAAATGCTGTGAAGATTTATGGGTTGTTCTGCTGCTGACTCTAGAGAAAGACCCTTGTTTAGAATTCAAGGCAGAATTTGAGCAATATAACTGAATAGGGAAGAAGAAAGACAAATTAATGAACTTTCCAAAACCACGTTCTCAGTCAATAGGGAATGCAATACCTTCTAACATAGCAATGGTGTCTGTAGGGCCACAGTTGCATATGGTGGCTGAGAAACATTTTCCTATACTAAATGGTTTCTGTTATTCTGAAACTTGTTTATAGTTGCTTCTTTTCTTACAATGGGGTCTCATCTCTCTATATGCATTGGAAGTTGAAAATATTGTAAATTGAAAATGCATTTAATGTATCTAACCAGTTGGGCATAGTAGCACACACTTGTAATAACAGCTATTTGGGACACTGAGACAGGAGGATCACAAGTTTGAAGTCAGCCTCAGCAACTTAACAAGACCCTATTGAAAGGAAAGTGACCACAACACTCAGAGCAACCAAAAGATCTTTATTGCAGCAGTGCAACAAAGAGAAAGGAAAGAAGGGGAGAGAGAGAGAGAGAGAGAGAAGAGATGAAGAGGGAGAGAGCAAGAGCAAGAGACAGACAGAGAGTGCGTGCAAGAAAGATAAAGAGCAAGAGAGAGAGGGCAAGAGAGAGAGAGCAAGAGAGAGAGGGAGCAAGAGAGAGGGGGGCCTGGCAGGAGGGAGTTTTTATAGCCCAAATCTAATGGGGCCTCTGAGTCTGCAAGCTGCCTTGTTGGCCCAAGGGGGGGTTAAGTGTTCAGCCTTGAGCAGGGTTGAATGTTCAGACTTGAGGGAAACAGGTGATAAAGGACCAGATAGAGGGGGGTTTGAGTGCGTGGGCTATCTTGCAGCCAACATCTGTTCAGCCTGCCCTGCAGACAACACAGTTCAGCCTGCTCTGCACCCAACACCTATCTTAAAATAAAAAATAAATAGGGCTGGGGATGTAACTCAGTGGTAAAAAGTCCCTGGGTTCAATCCCCAGTATAGAAAAAAAGAAAAGAAATACACCTAACTTATCAAATGCCATAGCTTAGCAACACAGTATACTATAGAGTACTTATTATCCTTGTGTATTACCCTTGTGATTATATGGGTGACTGGGCCCTGAGGCTCTCTGCCACTGTACAGCATTGCAAAGAATACCACATATCACCAACTAGGGAAAAGATCAAGATTGAGATTTTAAGGTGTAGCTTCTACTGAGTGTGTATCAGTTTTGTACCATTGTAAAGGAAAACATTGTAAGTCTAACCATAAGTCAGAAACTGTCAGTATACATAAACCTAGGTATAACAAGCATGACTCTTGAAGTTACACTAGCAAGTACATAGGTGACCAAAGCTTGAGTTACATGTAGTTTCTAAAAACTTTTGATAAAATGTCAGATTTCTGTAAACAATTTAACTTTTAATATCTATTAATTATAATTTGCAATTTTGTACTTCAATTTTTATTTTTTGTGGTACTGGGAATGAAATCCAGGGCCTGAGCAGGTACTTTACCACTGAGCTACATCCCCAGCCCTTTTTATTTTTTATTTGGAGACAGAGTCCCACTAAATTGCTGAGGCTGGCCATGAATTTGCAATCCTTCTGCCTCAGCCTCCCCAGTAACTGGGATTACAGGTGTGTGCCATCATGCCTGGCTACAAATTATGCAACGTTTGATCACAGTTGCATTTAACTTTTTAATTTAGTTCATTACCATCAACTGAACACAGATTATGTGAAAATCTTGATTATAGCAACATAATTAGTAACTTCACTGAAATGAAGACAAGAAAAACAAATTTGTAATGTGTATGTGTGTGTGTGTGTGTATTTATAAATAATGTGCTTCTGTTTTATTACTCATTCAACCATATCTGGTCTACCCTCAGAATTCCTAAATACATGCAATAATAAAAAAAATGTGGTCATTTTAATATTTTTCTAATCGTGTACCTGTGAGGGGCAAAGAACCAATTTTTTTCTTCCCCTACTCCCGCTCTCTTCTGGTACCAGATTTTTATGGGGTCCCTCCCCCCACCACACACACACACCAAGAAATTCTCCAATAGACATCTACTGGGTGGTTTTGTTTTTGTTTTTGGCACTAGGGATAGAACCCAGAGGCCCTTAATCATTGAGCCACATCCCCAGTCCTTTTTTATTTTTTATTTTGAGACAGGGTTTCAGTAAATTGCTTAGGGCCTCACTAAATTGCTGAGGCTGGCTTTGAATTTGTGATCCTCCAGCCTCAGCTGGGATTACAGGCGTGCGCGACGGTGCCCAGCTATTGGGAATCTTTAATTAAATTCTGACACTAACTACCTGGAGTTAGATCCTATAGGGTATGGGCTCAGTCCCACAAGACTGCTCTCTACCTATAGTATCAATAGAAAATAGTGGAGTACCACCTATACTTCTGACCCACTAGTTACAAACCCGGGTTCCCACAATTCTCTCCTTGGGTTCAATTAATTTGCTGGAGCTCACAGGACTAAGGACACCCGTTTCTTGGTTACAAAGGTTATTTCAATACAGAGATATAGCCACATGAAAAGTGCACAGGGCAAGATCTGGAAAGGAGCAGGGAAAGGGACAGGGAGCTTCTGTCCCTGTGAAGTTGGGATGGATCGTTCTCCATCCGGAAAACTCATCAAATCTTGTCTCAGGAGTTTTTAATGGAGCTTAATCTCCAGTCCGCCTCCCTTCCCTGAAGTTGGTGGATGGGACTGAAACCTTGGTCTTTCCGGAGACCAGACTCCACAGGCTAACTAGGGGTCCCACTAAGTCACCCCACTAGCATAAGCTCTGGTGCCCCAATGACAACTTACTTCCTCCAGGTTTTCTCCACCAGCTACCGCTCAGAGCACAGCGCTCCGCAGGCAAAATCTCGGTCCCCCTTAGAGTTTCCCCAATAATAGAGTTCCAGACACACGCCCTCGCCCCGCTGACCAATCACGCTCTTTCTTATTTCATGAACTTCTCTTGGGCTCAGGCAGTCCAGTTATAATCCTCCCGGGGCATCGCAGGTAACAGGAATTAGGGAGTCTTCATGCTTTTAAAAAGTCCCACCCTCAGCCACCCACAGAACCCGAAAGCACTACGCCTGCGCGAACTGGGACACCGCCCCCGCCCCCTGCCGAGCCCTCCCCGCCTTCCCTACCCAGTGGCTTATCCGAGACCACCTAACGCGTCCGCTACCCGCCAGAAAGCCGGAAGTGGCTATAGCTGCCTGATTGACCGCGGCTCACACTAGGTCATCTTGCTCACTGTAGGGGCCCAAGACTGACCCTTGAGCCTAGACTCAAAATGATGGACAGTTGCAGTTTATGTCTCTAGGTTGGTCCCTCCGTTTTCAAATCACTGGATTATACTATGGTAAAGCTGATCAGAGTTGAGAAATCATTTACTGTAGGCCTGTCACATCACCTGGATGATTGAATAATTGCTCCCAAGATTCAGAGACCCTTTTCTCCTTTCTCTCCGGTGTTGGAATTAGGGTCAAGAACGGCAGGTGCAGGACTTGCCACAGCCGCGTCCCTTAATCTTGGCAGTGCTGAGCCAAGGCTTCCATCCCAGGCCCACTTTTCCAGCCAGCTGTCAGACCATGGGTGAGAATGGCACAGGAGGAAGGCAAGGTGGACGAGGGAGATGTGTCCTGGCATTTGCCCAAGGTCCCTCTCCTCCCAGGAGTCCCCTGCAACGTGCTTTGGACACGGCCTTCCTTATTTTCCTGATTCTGTTCTTGACACTGCTAATGTTGGAGGCTGCTTATAAGCTGCTGTGGATTCTGCCATGCGCAAAACTGGGGGACTGGCTCCTAGGGACACCTCAGAAAGAGGAGGAGCTGGAATTGTGACCACCATTCCTATAAACTTCCTCTTTCCTTGCCACAGAGGTGAGAGGGGAGACAGGAGGGAAATGGGACTGTTGGGGCCTGTGGTGGGGATACTGGACAGCTTATGTCAGCAGTCTAAAATTTCTGCACCTACAGTCTGGGTAACAATTTGTTTAAAGTATATGCTCCCTAACATATTTTGTAAAACTTTTAAATTGACACAAAATTATTGTACATATTCATAAGGAACACTGTTATTTTGACCCATGTTTATGATGTGCAGTGATCAAATCAGAGTAATTATCACATCCATCACTTCAAATATTTATCATTTGTGTTGGGAACATTCAAAGTCCTGTCTTCCAGCTATTTTGAAATATACAATAAATTATTAACTATTGTCATCTTATTATGCTATAGAACACTAGAACTTAATAATCCTTTTTTTAAAACTCTCTATCCCCCTATACCCTTCCCAGCCTCTGATAACCACTATTCTACTCTCTACTTCTATAAGATCAACTTTTTAAGCTTCCACATATGAAAACATGTAATATTTGTTCATTACTTATTTCATAACATAGTGTCCTCCAGGTTCATTCATGTTGCCTTTTTATGGCTGATCTCTCTCTCTCTCTCTCTCTCTCTCTCTCTCTCTCTCTCTCTATATATATATATATATATATATATGGATATATACATGGTATTTTGGTATTTTCTTCACCCATTCATCCATTATTCATGGACACCAATGTTGATTCTGTATCTTTAATTTTTTTTTTAGTTGTAGTTGGACAATACCTTTATTTTTATATGGTGCTGAGGATCAAACCCAGTGCCTCACACATGCTAGGTGAGCACTCTACTGCTGAGCTACAACCCCAGCCCTGATTCTGTATTTTGATTTTTGTATATCCTGAATATTAATCCCTTGATGAATGATAGTTTGCAAATATTTTCTGCTGTTCTGCAGGCTGTCTGTCCACTCTGTTGGATGTTCCCTTTGCTGTGCTGGAACCTTCATATATTTCAAAGTAAGCATCTAAAATTTTTCATTATCAATTAAAATTGTTTCAAGGATGTAGTTCCTGGTATGTTGAAAACATTCATGTTTTAAGATAAGAAAAATTGCTTTTTTGAAAGTCCAGGGGATTTAAAATACCACAGCATCTTGGTACCTACCACCACCCATTTAAAATAATCACTTATGAACTGGGACACATTCTTTTTTTGTGTGTGTGTGGGGGGGGTGCTGGGGATTGAACCCAGGGCCTTGTGCATGCAAGCAGCCATCCAACTGAGCTATATCCCTAGCCTGGAACACATCCCTTTCTTTCATCAATTTTTCTTCTTGAACTTTTATTACCATTTCACTTCTTGACAACTGTTTTTTTTTTTTTTTTTTTTTGAGGGGGGTGGTACTGGGGAATGAACTCAGGTGCACTCGACCACTCTGAGCCACATCCCCAGACCTATTTTTTTTTTTTTTTTTTTTTTAGATACAAGGTCTCACAGAGATGCTGAGCACCTTGCTTTTGCTGAGGCTGGTTTTGTACTCAAGATCCTCCTGCCTCAGCCTCCCAAGCCACTGGGATTATATGAGTACACCACAGTGCCCGGCTTGGCCAGGACGTCTTTTTTTTTTTTTTTTTTAAGAGAGAGAGAGAGAGAGAGAGAGAGAGAGAGAGAGAGAGAGAGAGAGAGAGAGAGAGAGAGTGTGTTTTTAATATTTATTTTTTAGTTTTCGGCAGACACAACATCTTTATTTGTATGTGGTGCTGAGGATCGAACCCAGCGCAGCGTGCATGCCAGGGGATCGCGCTACCACTTGAGCCACATCCCCAGGCTGTCTGTTTTTATACTAGAAAGTTTTTTTGTTTTGTGCTGGAGATTGAACCAATGGCCTTGCACATGCGAAGTGGGGACTCTAAGCCATATCCTAGCCCCTAGCCCTGTAGTTTTTATACTGACCAATCATATCTCCCTGTATATACATATATATTAATTGAGAAGAAAACTCTTTGTTATGATTGTAGGACTCCAGTTAAAAAATTTTGGGTTATCATTACACTTATAAAAAAATAATCCGCAGGGCTCAGTGGTCTACCCCTGTAATCCTAGAGGCTCTTGAGGCTGAGGCAGGAGGATCCTGAGTTCAAGGTCAGCCTCAGCAATTTAGTGAGGCCCTAAACAACTCAATGAGACCTTGTCTCTAAATATATAAAAGGGCCGGAGATGTGGCTCCTTGATTAAACGACCCTGGGTTCAATCCCGGATTAAAAAAAAAATCTATTAAATCGCATAAAAATATGCAAATTTTTAAATTAAAGCGAAATTTTAATAAATTAGAAGAGGTGGTGTTCACAGAGCTTTGATGAAAGAAATAGGCTACATGCTTCTATATTTAAGAGGTAAGATTGCCCCAGGGGATTTCATAGTTGAGAACTACCTCTCTCCCTCTTTTTTTTTTTCTTTTTAAGAGGAAGAAGGTCCATCAGGAAAAGGAAGGGGAAAGGGGGAATCTAAAGTCCGCGTCTATTTAGGAAGACCAGTTTCAGGAAAATCGAGGATCTGGAAATTAAATTCTTTATATCTCAAGTCTCAACTTTTTGGAAGGTTTTCCTGTTCCCCAATTTGAAGGCTGTAGGTTTAGACAATGTAGAGAAGCGATGTGGGATTCTTCAATTGAAGGGTGACTTTGAGGTTCTGGGAGTCTTGAGAGTGACAGGAACGTAAGGTCTGCGGTCCTGGATTTTGGCAAGGTGCCCACCACTTGTGGAATGCGGAAGAATGAACAGGTGGGGCTCTCATTAACTGGGACCATATTAACCTTTCTGGTTTCTTCATCTCTCACCTCTCGACCCAGCCTTGCCTCCAGGAACCTTCAACCTCCCTAAATTGGGCGTGGCGGGCATCACACCCGATTTCTTCCCTCTTCGTTCTTTACTCGACTCTCAAGAAGAGGAGACGAGACCTGCGGTATTTTATGAGCCTCATTCCGTCTCCCAGCTCTCCTGGCGGCAATCTGAGTTCTTCTCAAAGTCCCAGCGCCTTCATCACCCGCCCTCCGGGCTCTGGACCTCCACGACAAAGCAGGGTCTTGGTCTTCACCGCCGGCCCTTCTTGTCCTTCAGAGAAGAGCCACTCGGGCCCCATCAGCTTGGTTGGTCTGTAGTTCTCTAGTGGAGCTTGAACAGCAAATCGGCAATAGCAATAATAAGCACAACCCATCTGTGTAGCGCGTTGTGCTCATTTGTATGTATGTGTTATGATTTCTCGATCAGAGACCCAGCCTCCGGCAGTGGAGGTAGCTGCTGGACAGCGGCAAGGAGCGCGCTGCCTTTGCAGTGAAGGGGCGAGCGCAGTCGATTAAGCCGTGGAAACGGGTACCTCCGAGATGGGAAAGCGGGGCCAGAAGGCGTGCCAACAGCCCAGCGAAAGGAAAAGATTTTATTTCCCACTTCAGACACTCCAGCCTTTTCAGGAAACGCTGCACAGCCTTAGAGAGCCCAATGCTTTATCCACCCTGCACCGCCCTCTTCCCCTCCGTGGAAAGGTGGTTTAATCCTCCCTGCACGCGACTCGCGGGCGATTGGGCCCGAGACCAGGAAGTTTCTGATTGGTCAAGTCGTAGAAGCACCGGATGAAAAGAGCTCCAAGGCTGCAGGCCCGAGTCCCCTAGAAGCCAGTGCCGTACGGCAAAATGGTGGTTCCCAGGTACTTTGGGACGCCTTGCCGGGACAAGCCCCGCCCCTTACAGGTTAAAGGGAAGAGAATCTTAGAGTATGTGGGCGGGCCTACAGCCACTTCCGGCCACTGGAAGCCTGAGTTCCGTACAATATGGCCGCGCTTGGTTGCATGTAGGCGGAAACTCTGCGACTTCCGGTCCGGAGTGGGGCCTGCGGTGGGAGGGGGAAGAAAGGCGCAGGGAACCATGCGAGGTTCTGAGATCAGCGGCGAGGGTCGCCTGGAGAGACCGTTTTTGAGGTGGGGGCCTGACCATGCGGGGAGTTAAGGCGGGGGCGGGGATATAGAGGAAGAGGTATTGGGGAAACCTGGGTACTGAGTCTGAGGGGCAAGCTATAGTACCTTCCCGTCCCTGAAGGGGAGTGGGGCGGCCGGGGCCCGAACTGGGGGAGGGGGTACTTGGCGGGAAGCTCATACACCGACCCGGCCTGACTCAGGGTTGGAGTCCGAAGGAATCAGGAGAGCCTGGAGGCGGGGTGCTCACAGTCGGTTACTAGTCACTGAGAGAATGGGGAAAATTAGGGTGGGGTGGGAGGGAGGGTACTTGTTGAAAAATCTCAACCTAAAGGTTCTTTAGAACCTGAGAGGAACCTATTAGAAGGTGAAATATGAAGATAATTAATGGAGGGGAAAGGAGAATGGGTTGTTGGGAGGGACCTCTTTCACTCAGTCTAGAAGTTGGGGTGATCATTCGGGATGGGGTGTGGGTTTGGCGTGTTTGAGGGTGAGGGGTAAACACGTGAGATGGCATTGACAGGAGGGGTGTGTTCCCTGTGGAAGCGGGTTTCAGGGAAACTTGGGATGCAGTGTAGGAGGTGGTACTAGAATTTAGAGTAAGAATTGCCAACTATGAAAAAGTGGGGAAATGGAACTGAAAGACCGGAAATTGACATGAGGGGTGGAGCTGGGGGTGGGGCCTTAAGGTTTCGAGGAGGTTTGCCCTCTCACATGTAAAGTTGCTGAAGATAGTCAGTGAGGACACTTTTGGCAGAGCTAGGAGGTACTGAAATGTAAGGTGATTGGAATATGTGTGAGCTGAAGGGATGGGCTGTCTATGCTGGAGGGGCTTTTTCTGAGGCCCCATCCCCTTCCAGCAGGAATTCCGAAATCCCCAACACTTCCTCCCTCCTGGGGATTTGATCCCCCATGGCCACCGCTAATAGCATCATTGTGCTGGATGATGATGATGAAGATGAAGCAGCTGCTCAGCCAGGGCCCTCCCACCCACTCCCCAATCCGGCCTCACCCCGGCCAGAAGCCCCTGGCTCCTCTGAGCCCCATGGGGCCGGAGGAAGCAGTAGTTCTGGCGGCAAGAAATGCTACAAGTTGGAGAATGAGAAGCTGTTTGAAGAGGTGAGCTTTAGGGGAGAAGATTCTTGTGCCCTAGGGAGGGGGATGGCTGACTGGCTCTCCTGTCTTGTCTTCCCCACTAACCCCAAATTGCCTTCTTTCTCTCAACCCCCTCCCTTGTTTCTTTCCCCTTCCCTTTTTTCCTTGAATCGTCTAGTTCCTTGAACTGTGTAAGACACAGACATCGGACCACCCTGAGGTGGTCCCATTCCTCTATAACCGGCAGCAGCGTGCCCACTCTCTGTTTTTGGCTTCTGCGGAGTTCTGCAACATCCTTTCTCGGGTCTTATCTCGGGCCCGGAACCGGCCATCTAAGCTCTATGTATATATCAATGAGCTCTGCACTGTTCTCAAGGCCCACTCAGCCAAGAAGAAGCTGAACCTTACCCCTGCTGCCACCACTTCTAGTGAGCCATCTGGGAATAACCCTCCCACAGATTCTGCTTCAGACCCTGCAAATGCTGAAACTACTGCTTCTGAGACCCCAAGGACGCGTGGTTCTCGGAGGCAGATCCAGCGCTTAGAGCAGCTGCTGGCACTCTACGTTGCAGAGATTCGTCGACTGCAGGAGAAAGAGCTGGATCTTTCAGAGTTGGATGACCCAGACTCTACATATCTGCAGGAGGCCCGGTTGAAGCGTAAACTGATTCGCCTCTTTGGGCGTCTGTGTGAGCTGAAGGACTGCTCTTCGTTGACAGGCCGTGTCATAGAGCAGCGCATCCCCTACCGTGGTACTCGCTACCCAGAGGTTAATAGGCGCATTGAGCGGCTCATCAACAAGCCAGGGCCTGATACTTTCCCTGACTATGGAGATGTGTTGAGGGCTATAGAGAAGGCAGCTACTCGTCACAGTCTTGGCCTTCCCCGACAGCAGCTCCAGGTCCTGGCTCAAGATGCCTTCCGAGATGTGGGCGTCAGGTTACAGGAGCGACGCCACCTTGATCTCATTTACAACTTTGGCTGTCACCTCACAGATGACTATAGGCCAGGTAGGGGGTTAGAGGGATGCTCATCAGTGATTCTTTAGTAGCAGAGGGGGCATGTCCCTAATTCCTTCCAGGGTTTGGGCTGAGTGCTGTCACTATATCTTCCCACATAGGCATTGATCCTGCACTATCGGATCCTGCATTGGCCCGGCGCCTTCGGGAAAACCGAAGCTTGGCTTTGAGCCGGCTGGATGAGGTCATTACCAAATATGCAATGATGCAAGACAAAAGTGAGGAGGGCGAGAGACAGAGGAGAAGAGCCCGGCTTCCCGGCACCTCTTCCCCCTCTGCAGAACCCCGCAAAGCCTTGGATTCTGGTGAGGTGTGGAAGGGATACACCCTTAAGAGAGACCTTATCCTCTCCCCCACAGTAACCACCAGGGATTCCAGGGTGACCAAGAGGGGGTGTGCAGAAGGAATGCAAGAACTGAACCCTCTGGGGCAAGGAATTTCTTAGAAAAACTGCTTTTTCCCTCAGGGCCCTAGTGGAATGGCATCTCCAAAGTGCCCTGCTACCTCCAAGGCCGAGACAGATGATGAAGAAGATGAGGAAACTGATGATGAGGAGGAGGAAGAGGAAGAGGAGGTCACAGATTCTGAAGAAGAGGAGGATCTAGAACAGATACCGGAAGGTCAGGGGGATGATGAAGAGGAAGAAGAAGAGGAGGAGAGAGCAGGTATGTAAGAGAAACCTCCTTCTTGTAAGTTCTACTCTTTTGGGCATCAGCCACCTGTTGAGACTCTTTTCTTTCCTCTTATTCCTAGTTTATTCTCAGTAGTATTTCCCCCTTAGTCCTCATACTACTCCTCCCTTCTTTTTTTCTTTCTCAGGTAAGGATGGAGACAAGAGCTCCATGTCCCCACTACATATTTCCAATGAAAAGAAGCTGGAATCTGGCAAAGAGATCAGCGGGTCTTCAGGGGAGCAGCAAAACAAAGAACTCACACTGTCACCAGCTTCACTGTTGGAAGAACCTCTGGCTCCCTCCAGCATTCATGCAGAAAGCAGTGGAGAACATCTTGAAGAGTTGCCCCTGGAGGAAGAGAGCCCTATGTCTCAGATCTTTGAGCTAGAGATTGAAGCATTGCCGGTGGATACTACCCCTTCCCCTGAAGGCAGCGATATTTCCTCATCCAGGAAGCAGACAGAGGATCCCCTCATCACTGTCTTGGAGAATGGGGCAGCCATGGTCACCTCCACGTCCTTCAATGGAGGTGTCTCTCCCCATATTTGGGGAGGTTCCAGTCCCCCCTGCAAGAAATTTCGGAAGGAGAGGAAGCAAAAAGGATCTGGACCATTAGAAAACAGGTAAAAACAACAGGAGGAAGAAGAGAAGTTGAGGAGGGATTGCCGGGTTCTTTCTTCAGAGAAATACTGGAGAACTGAGTCTGCTGGGAGAGCCTGTGCACTCTCCCTCCAGCCTTAGGTCCTCATACTCTTCATGCATTTGTTTTGTCCTCAGCTTTGTAGAAGATCAAAAGACAGTGCATGAGAAGAATGGGAAGAAAATATATACCCTGTCCAGCCCACCTTCCCCCTTGGCTTCCACAGTCCCAGTTGCCGATTCCTCCACGAGGGTGGACTCTCCCAGTCATGGCCTGGTGACCAGCTCCCTCTGTAGCCCTTCTCCAGCCCGGTTGTCCCAAATTCCCCAATTACAACCTCCCCGGCCTGGCACTTACAAGGTAAGAGGGGAGGCTGTTTTTCCCCTTACAGTTCATTCTCTTTCATTGCTTCAGTTCTGTAAATATGACACCTGCCACATCTCTTCCCTTTTTCCCATTCTGTTTTTTTAATCTCCTAAGTCATTCCCTCATACTTCTCCCCCAGTACTCCAGACTTTTCTCTCACTTCCCTGCAGATGAGTGTGGCCACACAGTGTGATCCAGAGGAGATCATCGTACTCTCAGACTCTGATTAGCTGCCTCCTCCTCTCCCTGCCTCTAAAATGTTTTGGGATAGCATTTGGAGGATGGTGGGAAGCAGATGACCGAGGAAGGGATGGACTGAGCTAATCTCTTTTTGGTGGTGATTCTTTTAAACAAAGCTTAAGTTTTACACAGAAACATTAATAAAGTTCTTTTCTTATTGTATTCCTGTCTTTTTCTTGTCCTTCTGTTGTCACAGCTTGGTATCAGCTGCCCCTTGGCTCAGGTTAGCCCAGGACCCCAAGTAGTGCAAGATTTGCCCTTTATACCCTGGCCCGCACACCTCTCTCGAGGCTTCCTAGCGCTCAGGCCTTCCTGGTGCACTCCTCTAGGCACTTAAAAAAACAAAAAGTGCTTCAGCCTCCTTAACGCGCTGTACTTTCTCACTTCAAGCTCTAAGAAGGAAAAGGCCAATCGGAGGCCGACTCAAGGTTACATGGCCAATCCAGGCCCGGAGGAAGGGGGCGGGGCTTCAACGAGACTGTCAGAAGCAGGGAAGAGGGTTATTAGATCCCCCAAAGCCGCTAATGGCCACAGCTTGGGGGCGGAGTCAGGAGCGAAGACCAGGACCCGTCACCAGTGGCTTATGGAATTAAAGGGGAATGAAGGATTTGGCTAAACCAAGTCCCGGGTCTTCAACAGAAGAGGGAACCAGGTACCTTTAAGGTGTAATGCGACGACGGTTCTTTAAAGGAGAAGTGGCTGAGTCGGCGGAGTATTGCCCAGCGGCACGGGCGGGTGCCCGCCTGTGCCTTTAAAGTCGGAGGGGCAGGAGGCGGAGCGGAGGCGGAGGGCGGAGGGAGTCGGCGCAAGATGGCGGCGGGAGGGGCCCAGGCTGCAGCTCTGGCCGCCGAGTGAGGGGCGGGGGGGGCCCGGGGGCGCGCGGCCCGGTAAGCGGGGGCGCGCGGGGCTGGGGGCGCCTTCCGGGTGGGAGAAGAGGCCGAGGTAGTGCTTGGGGCGGAGCAGGGGGGGCGGGGTCCGATGTGGGCGGGGGCAGCCAAGGGGCGGGGTCGAAAGATCCTGTGGGGGCGGAGCACGGGGAGGGTCTCGAAAGGGGCGGGGTTAGTGGTGCGCCGGGGCGAAAGGGGCGTGGTCTGTGAGAGGGGGTCAGAGCCCCAAGAGATGGAGCCAAGGGTGGTTTTCAGTAGAGGAGCAGACCTGCCCCGCCTCAAGCAATGGGTGCAAAACACCAAAAAGGTGGATTTTTGGAAAGTCAGGCTCTCAGGGAAATAGGATGTAATTCCAAGGTGAAGTTACCCTTACTCCTTAAGAGTGCCTTATTTCTCTAACCTTCAAGGAAAGGGTACTAAATTTGGGGTCTGGACACCTTCGTTTTCTGGTGCTGCCATTTACTGGTTGTGTGACCTTGGATAATCTCTTAATCTTCCTGAGCCTTAGTTTACTCATCTGTCAAATGGGGTTGAGAGGTATACCTTACCAGTATTGTAAAGTGTTGCTTAGAGACCAGCATGAACATGTTTTTAAACTGCAATAGTCTATGTCTTTATAAAATGTTATTCTTTTTTTTTTTCCCCAGAGACCCCCCCGGCCGCCCTCCTCCTTCCTTTGTTCCAGTGGCTGGGGGGGTGTCCCCTCCCTCCACAACATGGAGCCATCTGGTCTATCACCCAGTGGGGCAGCACTCCCCTTGCCTCTATCGCTGGCTCCACCCCCACTGCCCCTGCCAGCCGCTGCAGTGGTACATGTGTCCTTCCCTGAAGTGACCAGTGCCCTTCTGGAATCCCTCAATCAGCAGCGGCTTCAGGGCCAGCTCTGTGATGTATCCATCCGAGTGCAAGGCCGGGAGTTTCGGGCTCATCGGGCTGTCTTGGCTGCCTCATCTCCTTACTTCCATGACCAGGTCCTACTCAAGGGCATGACCTCCATCTCACTGCCCAGCGTCATGGACCCAGGTGCCTTTGAGACTGTCCTGGCCTCTGCTTACACTGGCCGCCTGAGCATGGCTGCTGCTGACATTGTCAACTTCCTCACTGTGGGGTCTGTGCTCCAGATGTGGCACATTGTGGACAAGTGCACTGAACTCCTCCGAGAGGGCCGAGCGTCAGCCACCACAACCATCAGTACTGCCGCAGCCACTTCTGTCACTGTCCCTGGTGCTGGGGCCCCATCAGGGAGTGGGAGTACTGTGGCCCCTACCACCACAGGCTCTGTGCGCTCCCATACCTCCAGCCGGGCCAGTGAGAATCAGTCTCCCAGCAGCAGCAACTACTTCAGTCCCCGGGAGTCCACTGATTTCTCATCTTCCACCCAAGAGGCATTTGCAGCTTCTGCAGTGGGCAGTGGGGAGCGACGAGGAGGTGGCCCTGTATTCCCAGCCCCTGTAGTTGGCAGTGGGGGTGCCACCTCTGGGAAGTTGCTGCTGGAGGCAGATGAGCTATGCGATGATGGTGGGGATGGGAGGGGGGCGGTGGTCCCTGGGGCTGGGCTTCGGCGACCCACCTATACACCTGCCAGTGTCATGCCACAGAAACATTGGGTATATGTGAAACGGGGTGGAAATTGCCCTGCACCAGCACCCCTGGTTTCCCAGGACCCAGATCTAGAGGAAGAGGAGGAAGAGGAAGACCTGGTGTTGACCTGTGAGGATGATGAAGATGAAGAGCTGGGGGGTGGCTCTGGGGTTCCAGCTGGGGGAGGGCCTGAGGCTACTCTCAGTATCAGTGATGTCCGGACCCTGACTGAGCCCCCAGACAAGGGCGAGGAGCAGGTCAACTTCTGTGAGTCCTCTAATGACTTTGGCCCTTATGAGAGTGGGGGTTCTGGGGCAGGGCTTGATGACTCAGGGGGACCCACCCCCTCCTCCTATGCCCCCACCCATCCCCCAAGACCCCTCCTTCCCTTAGACATGCAGGGCAACCAGATTTTGGTCTTCCCATCATCTTCCTCTTCCTCCTCCTCACAGGCTCCGGGCCAGCCACCAGGGAACCAGGCAGAACACGGGGCTGTCACCCTGGGGGGCACATCAGGGGGAGGCCTGGGTGTGCCAGGTGGCACTGGTGGAGCCCCTGGAGGGACCAGCAGCGGGGACGGTAATAAGATCTTTCTGTGTCACTGCGGGAAGGCCTTCTCCCACAAGAGTATGAGGGATCGGCACGTGAACATGCACCTCAACCTGCGGCCCTTTGACTGCCCCGTGTGCAACAAAAAGTTCAAGATGAAACACCACCTGACGGAACACATGAAGACACATACAGGTCTCAAGCCCTACGAGTGCGGTGTCTGTGCCAAGAAGTTCATGTGGCGAGACAGTTTCATGCGTCACCGGGGACACTGTGAGCGCCGGCACCGCATGGGTGGGGGCGGGGCGGGACTTGGACCTGCAGCGCCCACTGGGCCAGCCTTGCTTCCCAAGAGAGAGTCTGCCGGTGCGGGCGGGGGCAGTGGTGACGAGGCGAGTGGCACGCCCCCATCCAGCAGACGAGTCTGGTCCCCACCCACTGTCCACAAGGTGGAGATGGGCTTCAATGGGGGCGGCGGAGCAAACTGAAGGGGCAAGCAAGTGGGGTTACTTCGGGGGGAAGAGGGAATAGGGAGCACGATCCAGGGGCACCATGGCCCCCTGGTGATCTCCCATCACACTCACTGTCTTCCTTTATCTCTTTGGACTTGTATATATTGTGGAGGGGGAACCACATTGCACCACCGCCAGCCCATTCCACTCTTTAGCCCCTTCCTTTCAAGGTATCCGGAATTAAGTCACCTTTCTTTCCCCTCTGGTGGGTATTCCGAAGCCCCAGTTCCACATAGGAGGGCGAACATGGTGGGGGAGGGAAAGGGGCGTGTAGAGCATCTTGAATTCACAGGGTCAAGGGTCAGGTTGTTGTAGTCTGTGCCTGAAGTCTGTGTTTGTGTTGTGGGGACAAGGCCTTTGAGCCCCACTGTTGTCCTAGAACCTACCCCTTCCTGCAGGATGCGACCCTATTTCTATGCTCTCTCACACACACACCTCCCCTGGGGATCCTCACTCAACTTGGTTCTCAATAGGGAGTGGGTGGAAATAGGAGGGAGTAAGTCGTAGTACAAGCTTTTAATTTTTTAAACAGTGATTAAAATATTTATTGGTCATTTCACTTGGCTTCCCTATAACCCCTACGTGCTTATTGGGGACCTGACACCGGTGTGCGAAGCGGGAGTAATAGTTCTCAGGGAAGTGCATAGTGCGGGGAAGATCCTAGAGGGGAGTTTAGGTTTGGGGAGGGCTCAAATCCGGCGATGCTGGGTAGTCCAGGAGGTGGTGGCAGGGCTGAGGCGTCCACTGAAACCTGGAGAGGAAGTAACCAGAATATCCGTGCTTGACCAGTGGGGGATACATCCACCTCCACGGTCCTCACCTAACCTGAGCGGGGATTGCCTCGGCTCCTCCTGCTGTCCTTTGGAGGAAAGGAAAGCGAAAGTGAAAGGAGGAAGAGAAGGCTTCTCGGGGCTGAGGAGATTGCAGCGCCATGAAGCCCCTGTCCCTGCTCCTTGCTGTGACTTTGGGTGAGCGAACCCCGCGACTTCTCGCCCAGGAACAGGGGTGGGGAAGCGGAAAAGGAAGCCCCACCGAGCGTCGGCACCGTGTGTGTGGGGGGGGCGGGGGTTGGGTCATATGACATCGGCCGCCCAGTCACCCGCGGCCCGCTCCCCCAGGCCTGGCGACCACCGTCTCAGCAGGACCATCTGCGATCGAGTGTTGGTTCGTGGAGGATGTGGGCGGGGGCGGCCTGGCCAAGAGACCCGCCGCACTGCTTCTGCGCCAGGGACCCGAGGGACCGCCACCCCGGCCAGACCTCGACCCTAAGCTCTACCTCAAAGTGGACGGTGAGTCTTCCGGGACTCGCCCCCATCTCTGTGTACTCTACCGAAAATCCCTCCTCTTTAGAACGCGCATTGACCTCGGGCCTGAGTTTCTCCCTCTATCTAAATGAGTCTGGATTACCTCTAAGCTTCTCGCTACGAGGTACACTGTTCAACTGAAGTTTACTGAACCGTACCCTTCCAGTCCCGGGCAGTGACTCTACAGCTGCATTTCTTCCCCGATCTCACAGACCCCACGGGCACCCTGCAGGCTGCCTTCAGGAGGTACCCCCGGGGCGTCCCCGCACCACACTGCGAGATAAGCCGATACATCCCGCTCCCTGCCTCTGCAAATTGGGCCAGCGGCCTGACCCCGGAGCGGAGCTGCCCGCGGGCCCTGGACGGGGCTTGGCTGACCGTCAGCATGTCCAGCTCGGTTCTTAGCCTCTCCAGCCTCTTGCGACTCCAGCCAGAGCCTCAGCAGGAGCCTGTTCTTATCACCGTGGCAACAGGTAGCTGGGGAGGGGAGATAAGAGATGGAGGGGGAAATTCTAACCATTCTGATTACCTGGACTCGCAGTATGGTCTTAAGCTAATCATTTCTGCACTCAGGGTTCAGTTTCCGTTTTGTAAAGCGAGATAGTTTAGCTAGAATTAATCGGCCTCTAGTGTTCCTCCTAGCCCTGAACCAGTAAGATAAAAACCAACCGCGGTTTGGGGGCGGGACTTCGTGGTGCTTTGAAGGGCGGGGCTTTGGAGAGGCGAGGTTTCTGGGCATCAAATTTTGGGATATTTGTAAGGTTATGGAGTAGGGAGGTGTTTAGAAGCTGGAACTTTTTTTCTCCGCTCCTCTCAGGTCTGTATCTTGTTAGGCAACCCCCTAGCTTTGCAGTACACCCTGTTCCAAATACCAATCTTCGACCCTCACCCGCTCCCACAAGCCCGATGAGGCAATCAGCAAAGCAATGGCTGTTGCTCTAAAGTGCATTTTCCTTCCCTTAGGCACGTTGGTATGCGCTATGATTCCCCAAACAGTGGGCTCTAGTGGGCTAAAGGGACATGGCGGGAGACCACCTATGGCGTGGTACAATGCGGTCCTAGTGTCCAGACGTCTGACACCTTGCTGGGCAGTGGGTTTCTAAGTCTGGATTGGAGCAGATCTGACCTGGATGTCTATGAGCTCTTGCTTCTTCTCCCTGTGAGGCCAGGTAGTTACAGGTAGAATCCTTGGCTTCTCAATCTTGTCCCAACCTGATAGACAGGTCAGCCACAATGGAGCTCCTGCTTCCCTTCCCCGGTTCCTTTTCCCTTAATCACTGGTAGAGAATCACACATAGGAATATCACAAATATTCCTCTGTTGAGCACTAGTGTCCCCACTACTGTCTGAGACTCCAAAAACCTCAACTGTGTCAGCAGCTCCCACACTGGGCAGAGGCAGAAGAAAACTGCTCTTTGTGGGGACAGTAGTGCTCAACAGAGGAATATTTCCTAGGGCTGCTGGCTTCACTATGAGGTGGTGATGAGAATGTTTCTCTCTGAGTTTGTTCTTCCACCTGTAAAAGGTGCATACCATTTCCCACCTGCCTTTTAGTTGTGACTATCAAGGGAGGCATTGTGTTAATTTATTCACTGATTGAATAAATATTTGTTAGCACTAAGAAAAAGGGCTCAGGAGTTCTTTGATAAGGTTGCAAATAACACTTATGTTGGAACCTTCTAAAATATCCCCAAACCACAGGGCATTGAGGCACACTGCTGTAATTACAGCAGCTTGGGATACTGAGGCAGGAGGATCACAAGTTCAAGGCCAGTCTCAGCAACTTAGTGAGGCCCTCTCAAAAATAAAAAGGGCTGGGGATGTGGTTCAATGGTTGAGCATCCCTGGGTTCAATCTTCAGTACCAAAGTGTGTGTGTGTGTGTGTGTGTTTATATATACAACAAAACCTGGGTCCCTCTATAGGAAAATTAAATCAATATATGGGAGCTGTGTGTGTAGCTCAGTGGTAGAACACTTGCCTGTTATGCTTAAGGTCCTGGGTTCCAAATCCAGCATCGAAAAAAAAACAAAACCAATATGTGGGGTGGTCCTGAATACTGTTAAGGTCACAAACGTTATCAGGTGTAGATTGTGCCCTCAAAGAGGTTCTCAGATTTGTCATAGATAATCCTAACATAAAGTAGGAAGTGACTTGTGGGGCTCAGTTGGTAGAGTGCTTGCCTCACATGTATAAGGTCTTGGGTTCTATCCCCAGCACCACAAAAAAAAAAAAAAAGAAAGAAAGAAAGTGACTTGTGTATGGCTGAGGGTGTAGCTTTGTGGTACTTAGTGCCAGTGCTTAGAATGCACTGAAGGCCCATTTCTAATGGCCTTCTAAAAAACATTTCTAATTGATTAGGGACTATAAAAGCTATTATTATGATGTAACATTAGAAATGGAATCTCTTTGGGGTCAGATATCATTGATAATTAATTTTTACTTTTTAAAAAAAATTACGTGAAACTGAGGATTGAACTCAGGAGTGCTCTACCACTAACTTATATCCCCAATCCTTTTTATTTTCTATTTTGAAACTCTCACCAAATTGTCCAGGCTGGCCTCAAACTTGTAATCCTCCTGCCTCAGCCTCCCAAGTAGCTGAGATTACAGGTGTAGACCACTATATTATGTATTACAAATACACTTTCTTGGGTTTTTTTGTTGTTGTTTGTTTGTTTGTGTCATGTGGTGCTAGGGACCATGTGTGCTAGGCAAGTGCTTCCACTGAGCTATCACTCCAGCCCTCAAATATATATATTTTTTTAATATTTATTTTTTAGTTTTCGGCAGACACAACATCTTTGTTTGTATGTGGTGCTGAGGATCGAACCCAGGCCGCATGCATGCCAGGAGAGAGCGCTACCACTTGAGCCACATCCCCAGCCCCTCAAATATATTTTTTTGGCATATTTTGGGTATATAGTATTTAATTCTCACCTTTTTTTTTTTTTTTTTTTTTTTTTGGTACCAGGGATTGAACTCAGCCCACTCAACCACTGGGCCACACTCCTAGACCTTACCTTTCTCATATTTTATTTAGAGACAGGGTCTCACTGAGTTGCTTAGTGCCTCACCATTGCTGAGGCTGGCTTTAAACTCAAAATCCTTCTGTCTCAGCCTCAGGAGTCGCTGGGATTACAGGCATGCACAATCTGGCTAATTTTCACCATTCTTTTAGAATATTTTTATGGAAATGTTAAAGATACACAAAAGGGCTGGGGATGTAGCTCAGTGGTAGAGTGCTTGTCAAGGTCTTGGGTTTGATCTCTAATACCACAAAAACAAAACAAACAAAATTCCCCATAAAATTAGAGAACATAGTGAATGAACTCCTCTATGTCCATTTCTACCCATTATGCAGTTGGAGAGTTATAAAATTTTATCAAATTGTTTCACTTACCCTCCCTCTTTTTATTTACTTATTTTTACGGATACTGAGGATCGAACTTAGTACCTCACATGTGCTAGGCAAGACTCAACCGCTGAGCTACAACCCCAGCCTCTTTTTATTTTTTGAAGTGTTTGAAGGTATATTCCAAGCACCATATTATTTTACTCATAAGTACTTCAGAATGCATCTCTATTAAATAAGGGTTTTAAGAAAACTTAATCACAATATGTTTATCATACCTAACAAAACAAGTAATAATTCCTTAGTATCATCTTGATCTGGGGATGTAGTTTAGTGATAGAGAACTTGCCTAGCATGCTCTGGGTTGGATCCTCAGAACTGTAAAACAAATACCTATTGATTTTTGGGGGGAAACGTGGTCACTTGTTCTGTAGAATTTTCTTCATCCTGAAGTTGGCCAATTTTTTCCTCTTGTGTCATTTACCATATTCCACTTTCCTCTATATTTCCTATAAATTGGTAGATCTAAAGATTTAGATTTGTTTGTTTATTTATTTATTGGTACTGGGGATTGAACCCAGGGGCACTTAACCACCGAGCCACATCCCCACCCGTTTTTTGTATTTTATTTAGAGAGGGTCTCACTGATTAGGGCCTCATTAAGTTATTGAGCCTGGCTTTGAACTTGTGATCCTCCTGCCTCACCTCCTGAGTGGCTGGGATTACAGGCAGATGCCACCACCTCTGGCTGGTGATTTTTTTTTTTTCAGTAATATTTGATAATTAGTTGTTATTCACTTTTTTTTTTTTTTTGCTGTACTGGGAATTGAAGCCAGGGGGCGATCTACAGAGTTACATTCCCAGTCCTTTTTTAGGAACTCACTAATTTGTTCAGGTTGGTTTGGAACTTTGGATCTTTCTGGCTCAGTCTTTGGTATAGCTGGGAATACAGGACCAGACCACCAAGCCTGGCTGTGTTTACTTCTGTATTCCTACAGAGTACAATTTAAAGGATGCAGGTCTAAAATTGCTTTCCATAGCCCTTATTAAAGATCACTATTGCAGGGCATGGTGGGGCATACCTGTAAAACCAGCTATACTGGAGGATTGAGGCAGGAGGATGGCAGAATACCCCTGGGTTCAATTCCCAGTTTAAAAAAAAAAGTCACTGTTAAATTGAGAGTTAAACTGTAAAATCTTTAGATATTTATTAATCCTGATTTTTTTTTTTTTTTTGGTACCAGGGATTGAACACAAAGGCGCTTAACTATTGAGCCACACCCCCAGCCCTTTTTTGTATTTTATTTAGAGACAGGGTCTCACTGAGTTGCTTAGGACCTTGCTAAATTGCTGAGGCTGGCTTTGAACTCATGATCCTCCTGTCTCAGCCTCCTGAGCCACAGGGATTATAGGCATGCAGACACTGCACCTGGCTAACCCTGATTTTTACTTTTGAATTGCTTTTTTTAAAAATCAGGATTAAGAAAAATCCAAAAACATACTTTTGAATTGCTTTTTTTAAAAAAATCAGGATTAAGTAAAATTGCACTTTTTTTTTTTAACTAAACAATTGACTGAGACAAGATGCTATGTTGGACTTGAACTTTGCCTACATGCCCCCCACCCTTGAGGCCACTGCATCTCTGGCTCCAAGTCTCTCTCTCTCTTTTTTTTTTTAACTAAACTTTTGAGAAAAGTTTAACTTCATAAGCCTCAGAAACTAATATTAAAAATAAATAACCAAGGTGTGGTGCTTGAACCTGTAATTTCAGCTATTTGGGAGACTGAAGCAGGAGGATGACTTAAGCCTAGGAATTCAAGACATCCTGAACAGGGCTGGGGATGTGGCTCAAGTGGTAGCGCGCTTGCCTGGCATGCGTGCGGCCTGGGTTCGATCCTCAGCACCACATACAAACAAAGATGTTGTGTCCGCAAGGCAAGACCTTGCCTCAAAAATAAATAATGCCCAGTGTGGTGACCCTCACCTATAATCCCAGTGACTGGGGAGGCTGAGGCAAGAGGATTGTATGTTCAAAGCTAACCTCAGCGATTTGGTGAGACCCTAAGCAACTTAGTAAGACCCTGTCTCTAAATAAATAATAAAAAGGGCTGGGGATGTGGCTCAGTGGTTAAATTTCCCTGGATTCCATCCCCAGTACCAAAATAGTAGTAGTAATAATAATAATAATATACATAAATAGTAAATAATAGCAAATAGGAAATAATAGTAAACAAGGAAACAAAAATTTTTAGCAATAGCACATACCTGTAATCCCAGTGTCATTGGGAGATTGAGGCAGGAGGATCCCAAGTTTGAGGCCAGCCTAGGCAACTTAGCAGAGACTCTGTCTCAAAATCAAATATAGAAAGGGCTGGGGATATAGCTCAGTGGTAGAGTGCTTATGGGTTCAACCCCCAGCACCCCAAAACATGATAAGAAAAGAAAAATTACTTCTACATCAAGGACCTAGACATTTCTGGGAAGAAGTAGCAGTGGAACTAGCCTTGAAGGACATGAAGTGGTATTTAGATGTCTGAAGAAATAGAGGAAATACTGACTAGAGATGTAGCTCGATATAGGACACTTGCCTAGCATGCTTGAGTCCCTGAGTTGGATAGTTGGATCCCCAGCAGCACAAAATAAAACAAAAGACATTAGAAACCGTAGAACCTCATAACCAAAGCAAAAAGATGGCCAACAATTAAAATTTAGTCACAAGAAAGGCTTTTTTTTTTTTTTTTTTTTTAGTACCAAGGATTGAACCCAGGGACATTTAACCACTGAGTCACATCCCCAGCCCTTTTTATTTTCTATTTTCAGACAGGGTCTCACTAAGTTGCCTAGGGCCTCAATAAATTGCTTAGACTGACTTTGAACTTGTGATCCTCCTGCCACAGCCTCCTTAGCTGCTGGAAGTATAAGCAAACAAAGGGATTCTAATGTGACTAGTTTTCAGGATGTGAAGCAGTCTGGAAAGGTCGTTTGGGGATTGAGTTTTCAAATATCTGAAGGCTGAGTTGTATTCTGTAGATGATAGTGGACTATAAGAAGTTGTTTTTGTTTTTGAGGAGGAGTCATTTATCCCCAAAGCCTGTTATTTTCTTTGATTATCACAAAATATATTTAAGAATTGGCTGATAGGACTAGTGAGGAAAATATAGGTTAAGTGATGTATCTAGGAAGTCCATGATGATGATGAAGGTAGTGAAATTAGTAACAGCTAACATTTGTGGAGTATCTTCTATATGCTAGGCCCTGTTCTAGGTACTTTATATGCATAATCTTATTTATTTCTTCAAAAGTCATAGGACATGGGTGTGTTAGTATTTTTTTAATATTTCTTTTTTGGGCTGGGGATGTGGCTCAAGCTGTAGTGCGCTCACCTGGCATGCGCAGGGCGCTGGGTTCGATCCTCAGCACCACGTAAAAATAAAGATGTTGCGTCCACCGAAAACTAATAAATAAATATTAAAAAAATTTCTTTTTTAGTTGTAGTTGGACACAATACCCTTATTTTATTTATTCTTTTTTTAAAATACTTATTTCTTAGTTTTCGGCGAACACAACATCTTTGTATGTGGTGCTGAGGATCGAACCCGGGCCGCACGCATGCCAGGCGAGCGCCCTACCGCTTGAGCCACATCCCCAGCCCCTTTATTTATTCTTATGTGGTGCTGAGGATGGAACTCAGGGCCTCACACGTGCTAGGTGAGCACTCTACTGCTGAGCCACAACCCTAGCCTGGGTGTGTTAGTATTATTGCCATGTTGCAAATGAAGAAATCTGAGAGTAATTAGGTAACTTAACCAAGGAATATAGTTTATAAAAAGAAGGGTTCAAAATTGAACCCAGGTTATGTAGCTCTAGCCTGCATACCTTTAGCTACTGACTTCCTTGATAACTGGGATTTTGAGGGGTTTTTGTTTCTTTTTTGAGACAGTGTCTTAATAGATTGTCTAGGCTGCCCTTGAACTCCTGGGTTCAGTTGATCCTCCTGCCTTAGCCTCCTGAGTAGCTGGGACTATAGGTATGTGTCAACATGTCCAGGTGGCAGTTGGGATTTTTTTGAGGGGAGGTGGTGGTACTGGGGATTGAACCTAGAGGCACTCCAACACTGAGTTACTTTCCCTGTCCTTTTTATTTTTTGAGACAGGACTTGCTAAGTTGCCCAGGCTGGCCTGGAACTTGCAATCCTCCTGCCTCAGCCTCCCAAGTTGCTGTGATTATAGGAGAGCACCACTGCACCAGTTGGCAGTTGGAATTTTTAATCAGGCAAGTGACCTGAGCAGACATGTAGCCACACTGTTTGATTACAGGGTAAAGTAGGGATTGAAGGAGAGAATGACAATTGAGAGACCAGAGAAGAGGCTATTGTAATTGTCCAAATGTATGTTGAAAAGTACCTGAGTTGTAAACAGGTATGAGATCGTGATGAGAATAGCATGACATATTATTTTTGGCAATTTGCTTTTCTCTCATATCTCCTCCCCTCCCCTCTCATGCTGTCTTCCCCAGTGGTGCTGACTGTCCTCACCCACACCCCTGCCCCCCGAATCCGACTGGGACAAGATGCTATACTGGACTTGAGCTTCGCCTACATGCCCCCAACCCTCGAGGCTACTGCATCTCTGGCCCCAAGTCCCCCTCCCTTTGGGCTGGAGTGGCGACGACAGCACCTGGGTAAGGGGCACCTGCTCCTGGCTGCAACTCCTGGGCTGGGTGGGCAGATGCCAGCAGCCCGAGAAGGAGCAGTGGCGTTTGCTGCTTGGGATGATGATGATCCATGGGGCCCATGGACCGGGAATGGGACCTTCTGGCTGCCTGCCGTGCGACCCTTTCAGGAGGGCACCTATCTGGCCACTGTACACCTGCCATACCTGCAAGGACAGGTCTCCCTGGAGCTTACTATGCACAGTGAGTGGGGCCAGATGTCTCTGGGGGTAGAGGGTGGCCACTGGGGTTAGGAGGATACTATGACAGAGGGAGGGGTGATGAAAAAAGAGGGGCCCTGGGAATCAGAGAAGCAGTAGTGTGGGGTGGAGAGTCCCTGGGGATCTGATGGACTTTGGCTTGGAGATTCCTGTGAAGCACTCATGGGGACAGTGTGTTCCCCATTCTTGGAGAATACCCCTTGTCATTTTGGGGGAAGCTGGAGAGTAAGCTGAGGGAAGACATTGTGGACCGACTTCTCATGTTCATTTCCTTCTCTTTCCCCAGAGCCCCCCAAAGTGTCCCTGTCACCAGCACCCCTTGTTTGGGCTGCCCCAGGGGAGGCACCTCCAGAGTTGCTGTGCCTTGTGTCCCACTTCTACCCTTCCGAGGGCCTGGAGGTAGAGTGGGAGCTCCGGGGTAGCTCAGAGAGTGGATCTCAGAAGGCCGAGGGGCAGAGGTGGCTCTCCTCTCTGCGCCACCATTCAGATGGCTCTGTCAGTCTCTCTGGACACCTGCAGCTGCCCCCAATCACTGCTGAGCAGCATGGGGCTCGGTACATCTGTCATGTCCACCACTCCAGCCTGCCTGCCTCGGGGCGCAGTGCTGAGGTCACTGTGGAGGTGGCAGGTAAGACCTAGGGGCACTGTGGAGCCCAGGTGATGCCTCGGAAGACACGAAGTTCACTCTCTTCTCTTCCATCTGCCAGGTTTCTCTGGGCCCTCCCTTGAGGATGGCGTAGGGCTCTTCCTGTCTGCCTTCCTCCTCCTGGGACTCTTCAAGGTGCTGGGCTGGGTCGGTGAGTGTGACACTATCCCCACCATGGGAAGGACAGGAGCTAGACACCATTCCTCTGCCCTCCCCCTCTATATTCCCACATCCCAACCCCTCTTAATCTTTCTCCACAGCTGCCTACCTGATCATTCATAAGGATTCCAAGGAGAAGGTAAACAGTGCTCCATTTCCTCTTATCTTCTTCCCCTTCTTATTTAATCCCTCTCTTCCCAACTCATCACCCATGGAGGGAGGCTGCTGCTGTGGTGGGTAGAATCAGACTTGGAATTCACAGAGACCTGCCCTACATTTTAACTGTAGGGCCCCTTGAACATGCTTAAACTGCATCTGTTTCCTTGGATGTCTTGATTTAAAAAAATTACTTAGGCAGTGTTGTCCAATAGAAATATAATGTAAGCCACATATGAAAATTTGAATAATCTAGTAATCACATTAAAAAAGTGAAAAGAAGTTGATTGTGGTGATGCACATCTGTAATCCTAGCTACTAGGGAGGCTGAGGCATGAGGATCACAAATTCCAGGCCAGCCTGGGCAACTTAAGTCCCTGACTGGAAATAAAATTTTTAAAAAGGGGAGGGGGTGTGTAGCTCAGGGTAGAATGCTTGCCTAGCATGTTTATAGGCTCTGGGTTCAATTCCCAGTATTGCAAAAAAAGAAAAAGTAAAATTAATTTGATGCTTTATTTAATCAAATCCAAAATACTGTTATGTAGACATATAAACAATATAAGAAATTATAGGGCTGGGGGTGTGGCTCTGGATTCAATCACCAGTGTCAAAAAGAAAAAAATATATATATGTGTATATATATATATATATATATATATATATATATATAGAGAGAGAGAGAGAGAGAGAGAGAGAGAGAGAGAGAGGGAGAGAGTGCCTTTTTTCTAACCTAAGTGTTCACAGCTGGTGTTGATTTTAAACTATCAGCACATCAATTCACATTAGCCACATTTCAAATGCTCAATAGCCATATGTGGCTTCCACATTGGTGGTACCTTGACTAACAAAATGGTGGCTACCACATTGCACAGAGGAGCTCTGGATGACTATTAGGGGGATTAGGATCTGTTAGAAGATGCAGGAGACAAAGCACTCAGTACAGTAAGTGGCAGGCAGAAAATGTGAGCCCCATCTCTCTCCCACCTGCTGGACTGACCATGGGCAAGTACCTCACCCCACCTCCTGAAACCCCCAAATTCCTCACTTCCTTCTTATTTTCTTCCAGAAATCACAGTGAAGGCACTCAGCACTACCCTGTGGAAGCTACCATCATCTCTGGCCCTAGCTACTGTAGCAGCTCCCCCAAGCAGTACCCCATCACCTGCTCCTACTCTCTCAAAACTTCCTACACTGAATGGCTGGAATTTTTTTTTTTTTTTTTTAAAGACAAATCTTATGCATTTGTCTTCTTAAAGCTCTTGGGCAGTGGTTCTCAAAATTTTTGGTATCAGGACTTTCTTAAAAATTATCAGTCAGGCCTGTTGGCACATGCCTGTAATTAGGTGAGCCTCAGCAATTTAGTGAGGCCCTAAGCAACTTAGTGAAACCCAGTCTCAATAAAAAATAAAAAAGGCTGGGGATGTATCTCAGTGGTAAAGTGCCCTAGGCTCAATCCTCAGGGCCAAAAATCAAAGACTCTCAAAAGCTTTTGTTATCTGTGCTATAACTATTGATATTTATTGTACTAAAACCTAAAATAGAAAGATTTTAAACACGAGAATACATAAATACACATTCTATTAGTTTTGAAAGCCATGGTGTCAATACATATCATGTAGCTTCTGGAAAACCCCGCATGTACACTCTTAGAAAATTATAATGAAAAATGCAAATAACATCTTTATAGAGTTGTTAAGTTTTAACCTCAAATACCCACTGAAATTGTCTTGGGGACCTCTGGGACAGAAACCAACCTTGGAGAACCAGTGCTCTGGGGTAAATTCATTCTTCCTGCTCCGTCCTGTGAGTCCCCCCACCCTGCCCGAACACTGCCTACCTCTCCAGTCCTACCAGGTGCTCCCCAGCCCTCCTCTCAATGCTCATCAACAGACAGCTATTCCTTTCTTCCGATGAACCAAAGGCCTCCCGCCAGCCTCGAGTTCCGCAGCTTGATTCCCTCTACCTGGCTCCTTCCCTGGGCCCCCGACTTAGGTCTGCCTCGTGATTCCCCTCAGACAGTCGCGTGTCTGTCTTGTGCGGTTCACCACAGCTGTAGTTAAGTGATTGTGAGAATCGTGGTTAAACGCCCGTCTACCCTCCCGGACTGTGGCTCCTGTGGCTCAGCGTGACAAGCCTGTGTGTCCTCTGCTGTATGACTGGCTCCCACTGGAGGGCGCTCATTAAACAGCTGCTGAACTTAGAACCGAGGAAGCCGCAGCACAAGGGGCTGGACGGTCGTCGGCCAGACGGATGGGGAACGGGTCTAGTGTGGGAATAAAGTAGTGTTCCAGTGCTTCCAACCGGGTGTCGCATTCTATTCCTTTTTCAAAAACAGTCACCTTTGGTCTCTTTCAATTACCCTGGTCTCCCAAATGCCTCGGACATAGCCAATCTCCGGTGGCAACAGTGCAGAGTCACACACACCCAGCGGCTCCAAAGACGCCTTAAGCAAACGCTACCTCGGCCCTCCAACCAGCCGCGAGGACCGGAAACGCCCCAGAGCCGAGTCTCAACCGGATGTGGCGGCTTCCTGCCCCGCCCCCAGAGAGTGGGCGGGAACTAAGTGCTCCTCAGAAAACCTGGCGTGGATTCGGTCCGTTGCACTCCTGGGTTGGGGCTGGGAGAGTAACCTCGCGGGGTGCAGTAACCGGGTCTTTTCCCGGCTAAAGCGCTTTCCGCAATAGTGTTGGCCTTGTTCTGGTTGGTGAAAGGAATGTCAAATTCTGCTCCTGCCCTCCTCCGGAGGCTGGAGACTGGAATTTTTATTCCAATTCAGTGAAGAGCGACGTGAGCTCCAGAATCCTGGAGAGGAGGGGCGGGGGACAGTGGAGGTGGGGACCCGAGCCCCTGCGTCTCGGCCCCTGGACGTCCAACGTTCCCCTAGTCCTCGACTCTGGCTCCTGTCCTCACTTCCTTCCCTTTTTGGCTCCTGCTCTCGAAGCGGGCGGACGCGGGGGGGAGCGGAAAGGGCGGGAGGGCCCGGGAGCCCCGAGGGGGGGTGTAGGGGGGTGCGGAAAAGCCGCGGAGGGGACTCGGTCCAGGGACTCTGTAGAGGGCCAGAGACCGACAGGAACAGCGGCCCGGGACCCGCGCTGCCCCCACCGAGCAGGTCAGAGCCAGAGCACCGAATGACCCTGCCCGTCCTGTACTTGTGACCCCCTCATCCCTAAAATGCACCAAGGGCCCTCGTTTTCCACCCCTATTTTGCTCCCTCCCTCAGCCTTCCTGCAGGACTCCCATCCGGTTACCTTTACACTCACCCGCATTCTTTCCCTGTCCCGCTCCCCCACGCCCGCCTGACTCCACCCCACCCCCATCCCTGTCTCTCCCCAGGCGCCCCCATGGCCCGACCCCGCTGATTCCTTCACTTGGCCATGCTCCCGCGGCCCCTGCGGCTGCTTTTGGACACGAGCCCCCCCGGGGGAGTCGTGCTGAGCAGCTTCCGGAGCCGAGATCCCGAAGAGGGTGGGGACCCAGGTGGCCGGGCCGTGGGCGGGGGGCAGGAGGAAGAGGAGGAGGAAGAAGAAGAGGTGAGACGCGGGTGGTGGGAAGCAGGGGCAAACACATTTCGGAGACTCTCCGCCTTTCTCTCGGTGTCTCTGGCTTCCTACGGCGCTTCCTCCCTGCCTCAGTCATTTTCAAGCCTATTGCTGTGTATCTGTCTGTCTTCCTGAAGCGGGGAGTCCTGGAGTCTCTGTCTTCTCTGTCAGTGTGACTCAGGATCTGCCCGCGGGAACCTGCCTTGTTCCAGTCTGGAACGTCTGGCTGGCAGTCCCTACGGGGCTCTGGGCCTCTCTGCCTTTGCCTGCCTGAGTTTGTCTCTCGGGGTAGCTGTGTCCTGGTCCCGGTCTTCCTCATTTTTGTTTGGAGGGGAGGGGTTTGTTTCCACAGTAACCAATTCCTCAGACTCTGGGATTGGGGAGGGAGCCCTCAGATTTCGTGACCCCTCCCTCCTTCCCTCCCTCTCTCCTCCTCTTCTACCCTTGATGTTAGATAGAGGCCGGGAAGCCAGGGTTCTGGGACCTGGAGGGACAATCTCAGGCTGGGTAGAGTGTGGTTATCTGTTTTCTCTAGGGACTAATGGTGGTGGCCAGAAGCACGGTTTGGAGCTTCAGGAAGGGCCAGAAGTTAGATTTTTACCCCACTTTGATGGTGCTTGGGATCTAACCAGGGCTCTGCATGCTAGGCAAGCGCTGTACTACTGAGCTACATTTCCAGTCCCAGATGTTATATTTAAGGCCCAGAAGCCCTGGACTCCTGGGTCCAGACACTGGGTGAAGGCGGGGTGACTAGCAGGGCTGGTTTTTCGGGACCTGCCAGGGGAGGGGCTGAGACCACGTGACTCTGAGTCTACCAGCCTCTCCCCCCCCAACCATCATCCCCACTTCCCCTTCTCCTTCCAGTACTGGGATTGGAGCGGCCACCTTCAGGGGGGGTCCTCAGGGCTGGGATAGTGGAAGCCCCACCAGAGGGACCTGGGGAAAGGGGGCCTAAGGGGACAGACTAATTCTTCTGGCTTGTCCGGTTTTTGGCGGGGAGGGCGGGGCACGCTGCTGTGCCTGTGCCTGAGTTTTCTGCTTCTCAAGGTCTCTGGCTCTCTGCCTGTTTCTCTTCCCTCTTCTGCCCTTTGTACCCTGCTTTTTACTGTGCTGGGGTTCAGCTCTGGGGGGAAGGGGCATTGGGGGTTTCCAGGATCCTGGTTTCTGCGTTCCATTCAATCCCCCACTGCAACCCCCTCGACTTTACCGGGTCCTGAGGCTGCTGGGGGGGGGCTGTCTGGGCCCCCGTGGGGGAGACCTGGGGTCACCAGCCCCCCCCACCCCTCGCACTCGTTGGTACTGTCCCCTGCCATCACAGGTGAGGGGTACAGAGGGAGGAGCAGGGCCTGGGGTGAGAGGGAGGGACAATGGAGATGGTATGGAGTTGTCTGACTTCCTCTTCCTTGCTCCTCCAGGCCCCTGTGTCTGTCTGGGATGAGGAGGAGGATGGTGCCACCTTTACTGTCACAAGCCGCCAATATCGGCCTCTTGATCCCTTGGTGAGATCATGACTTTGGCTTCTCACCTCTGACCCCTCGTGTCCCAGTCCCTTTCCTCTGGCTGACTTTCTGACCAGAGTGCCGGATTGGAGGTCCAGAGCCTACCACTCTGCTGTGTGACTTAGGCTAAGTCCTTTGCCCACTTTGAATCTCATCAAAATGAGTCTGGATAAACTTCTAAGTCTGGAATTGTCCCCAGATATCTAGGGGGCAGTGTTGAAGGAAAGGCCAGTGACCAACTGTCTGTGTCCTCCAGGCCCCCACACCTCCACCACGGTCCTCTCGACGGCTCCGAGCTGGCACCCTGGAGGCTCTGGTCAGACACCTGCTGGATCCCCGGACATCAGGGGCTGACATGACATTCATGTCAGCCTTCCTGGCCACCCACAGGGCCTTCACCTCCACGCCTGCCCTGCTTGGGCTTGTGGCTGACAGGTCAGGGTCATAAGGAGCCAAAGGTCACGGAGGTGTTTTCTAAAGCTGGAACATCCATCCAAAGGAGTCAGAGCCATGAAGGGGGTGGGCAGGGGTGGAGGTGGTTGAGGGAGTTGGAAAGATGCACAGATAAGTTCTCTCCCCTCAGGCTGGAAGCCCTTGAGTCTCATCCTACTGATGAGCTAGAGAGGACAACAGGGTGAGTGATCCTATTCTCAACCTCAGTCTCCTCTGCCCAAGCTGTGGCTGGACCTCTGACCCCTGGCTGATTCCCCGTCTCCCAGGGTAGCCATCTCTGTACTGTCAACCTGGCTGGCCTCTCACCCTGAGGATTTTGGCTCTGAGGTCAAGGGTCAGCTTGACCGGCTTGAGGGCTTCTTGCATCGGACAGGGTATGCAGCTGGGGAGGGTGTTGGGGGGGGCAGCGCTGACCTCTTCCGCAACCTCCGGTCCCGGGTGGACCCCCAGGCCCCCGACCTTCCTAAGCCCCTGGCCCTCCCCGGCGACCCCCCTGCTGACCCCACGGATGTCCTGGTGTTCCTCGCTGACCACTTGGCCGAGCAGCTGACCCTGCTAGATGCGGTGAGACCCTGACCTTTGGTCCCTATGTCCCTTGACCCCTTACTAACCTCTCCTTGACTCCAGATCCTTGTCCTTGCTTCCACCCCATTCCTAATCCAGTTCCTAGCCTCCTCCATCTACTGTTTTGAACTTTTCCCTTGGTGGTTACCCTTTCAAACCCTGTACCCTTCTGGTTCCCTGGCCACCTGAGATCCTCAGATCCCTGGTATTGGAAGGCTCAACTCACTTGACTGTGAACTTTAACCTTTGCCCTCTGCCCTGCAGGAACTGTTTCTCAATCTGGTCCCCTCTCAGTGCTTGGGGGGCCTGTGGGGTCACAGAGACCGGCCAGGACATTCCCACCTCTGCCCATCTGTCCGAGCAACTGTCACACAATTCAACAAGGTGGCAGGGGCTGTGGTTAGCTCTGTCCTGGGGGCCACCTCAACAGGAGAGGGACCTGGGGAGGTGACCATACGGCCACTTCGACCTCCCCAGAGGGCCCGGCTCCTAGAGAAGTGGATCCGTGTGGCAGACGTAAGTAAGGATTGTCCTGTTGGGGACCATGGTGTGGAGAGGGGTCCCACAGCCTTGGCTTTCCTCTTGGACTCCCACAGGAGTGCCGACTTCTCCGAAACTTCTCTTCAGTTTATGCTGTTGTGTCAGCCCTGCAGTCCAGCCCCATCCATAGGCTTCGGGCAGCCTGGGGAGAAGCAGCCAGGTGGGGAGGCCAACGCGCTGGACTGAGGGTGGGAAGACAGGGTGACTAAGACAGGCCTGTCCTCAGGGCCTTTGTTCTCCTTCCCCCAGGGACAGCCTCCGAGTCTTTTCTAGCCTCTGCCAGATTTTCTCTGAGGAGGACAATTATTCCCAGAGCAGGGAGCTCCTCCTGCAGGTGAGGCCCTGTTATCTGGCATACCCAACCTTTCTTGTACCTACTTGCCATATATCTCCTTGTTTTGTCACCACCAGGAGGTGAAACTGCAGCCCCCTCTGGAGCCACACTCCAAGAAGTCCCCGAGGTCTGGTTCCCGGGGTGGGGTGAGTGATTAGCAGAGGGTTGGGGAGAGGTATGGAGTGCCTTCATAGGGAGAAGTCTGAGGGGTGGGAAGGGGAACCATAGCTGATTGAGGAGAATAAACATTTGTTCTCAGAGGCAATGAGGAGGGAAAGTATGGAGGGATATAGGATCCTTAGACCAGAGACAGGGCCTCTGATCCTGACATCTAACTTCAGGGTGTGGTCCCATACCTTGGTACCTTCCTG